CAAAAATTATATTTCTCTCCTCTTCTTTAAAACAGTGCAAGCGAAAGTAGGATTAGACTAATCGTAGAAGACATACAATTATACTTATGCCATATTTTCCTCCTAGTTCTTTGTTTTGAAACTTTTCACTCCGAAAATTCATAGTCCCCTCTCAATGCGCTCCTCTCAAAAATTCAAAACCCGTTCAGGATGCATGCCCCTCAAAACATTTGATGGCACAACTCGCGCCACGAAACCCCCTTCTTGGTAACTCTGGTTACTGATAGGGGTTTCCCAATTTTTAACCAATTTCTGGTTTAATGGGAGAACATTTGTTTTCCTAATTAGTTATAACAAATGCTTCGCTACAACTCTGCAAAAGAGTGGTGTCACATCAAAGACGGACATCTCTCATTTTCAAAAAGTATAGAAAAATTCTATTCTTGTTTTATAGATTCATCTCAAACTGTTTTTGATGATTTTATTCCAGAATTTTCAAGTTTAATTACGAAAAGTAATCATTAGAATTGGTTTAAATTGAAGCTATGTTACAAATATTTTTTTTATCAACTTTTTAAAAATTACAGATGATCATCTTTGATATGAGGTCACACAAATGTTGTCATAAATATTGTCGTCATACATCATAATTCTCAAAATAAAATGTATTTTTAAAAAAATGGAATAAAGAAGATATAATCAGGCATTTAGATACGTAAGGAGGATAAGGTTTTTTTAATTCATTTAGTTTAAAATTATTTCACGATGGTTTATTATTTCCAAACAATTATACATCTAAAGTAACATTACCTTTCAAGCTACAAAGAAAAATAAACAAAAGATGTCTCCAATTATTGGACTAAACTTTTTTTTAATCATTAGTAATATGCTAAAAAAATTAGCATTACTTCAGTTATACATTCAAAATTCAAAAACCAAAACAAATGATATAACCTTTGTAGTAGAACATAGAACTATAGACCATATTTTTGCTCCTAATTGTCCGATTTTAACGATTTTCTTTTTCTTTTTTTTTTAGGGAATTCCATAAACTTCAAAGAAGTGTAACCGTAAATTGACAAAAAATTGTATACTTTTTGAATTATTCTAAATTTAATTTTACTACCTCTCGTAACTTCTTTTCGTTGAAGTATGTTATATAGATAAATTTAAAGGGCGTCGAGAAAATGACTTGGCTAAGTTTCATTGAAGTACTGATTTCAAATTTGCAAAAAATCGGTCCAGTAATTTCGGAGAAAATGCGCGGACGGCGGACGAACAAAAAATTTTTATTCGTTTTTCGAATTCTACATATCCTGAAACGTAAAACCTAAAAAATAAGTTTTAGAAATTTTTGATCGATCACAATGGTTCATTATTGAAAATAATAAACCAAAAATATAATGTTCAGTGAATACTTAATGAAAAAAAACAAACGCTATCTGAATAGAAAACAAGTTTGGAAAAATATAATTAATTAATTAGTTTTGACTGTTTTTTTCGTGAATTATAGTGCAATGATTTTGTTCATGGCTGTTAAAAATATTTTTTATCTCAAGAAAATCTCTATATGATATAATATGAAATGTTATTTAAAATAAATATAGAAATGTTGAAATCGATTTCAATGTTTATATAAGTCTAATTATTTTACTGTAAAAATTCAAAAACTGATGACAACAATTACTAGTCATTTTTTTTTTACAAAACATTTTTCTACATATTTTTCTTCTCATCTTAATAAACCAGGCATTAGTGTCTTATTACCATTTGGCTCTCTCAGAATTTTTTAATCTCAATAGTACATAAAAAATATTCAATTACAGTCTACCTCATCGCATTTTTCCTCCTTCTTTGTTTTCAGCTGTTTACAACGAATGTAGCCACTAGCCATTATTTAATGCTTACATAACAAGTGAAAAAGTGAAATACTTATACAACAATGTGTAATTATATATATATATATATATATATATATATATATATATATATATATATATATATATATATATATGTTTGATTTTTTATTTTTTTTTTTTTTTTTTGTTCTACATCCTGTTCATACAAGTCTTACAACCTGTAGACCTTTATAAAAATATACAATATATATGTATATAAATAGGAATTTCTATTTTCTTAAATGTCATATAATCATTTATATTTTTCGTATGGACCTTAAGATTTATTCAATAAATAAATCAGTATATCGTGGCGACGTTTCAAGGCTTTATTGATCTCATATTCATGTCTTACTTTGAAAAAAGATTATAGAAAATGTATAAGAAAATAATTATTACATTAAAAAATAAAGTAACTTGCTAACAATTAAAATTCACACTTGTTATTAAGATATTATTACAAAAGTTGATATAATGAAATCTAATGAATAAATAGTACAATTATTGTAAATTAATCACCACTAGATTCAACTACTACACAAACATAAACCAAACAAAAAATGTGTTAGGTGAAACTCTATGATATAATATAATATTTTGTCCAGTGTCGTTTACTGTTTATTTAGTAGTTGGATGTTTTGAATATTAATTTTAAACAATTGTAAGTAAAATGTCGTCTTAAGTTTGTTTTCAACTTAGTTTTAATTTTTCAGTAGTGTTTGTGATTGCTGGTAATTTAAATTTTTAATAATTATTTTCTCAAAAGTATTCTGCGTTTTAAACTTTTTTTATATAGTATTCAAACCCCATGAAAAACCCTTCTGGACACCTCTGTATATATAAATAAACATGTGTGTATATTTTGGATTTAGGATATTATAGTGTTTTTCTTGCTCTAATAACATAACCGTCTTGATTTCCTGTTTTTATTTTTTATATATAAATTAAATGATGAGAGATACATATATAATAGAATGTTTTATCATGAGCAATTTCTAAGAAATTTGTCATTTATTTATTTTCATTTTATAGTGATTTAAGCTCAAAAATTCATGTTATTGAGTTCATTCAGAACTACGCTGATTCTGATAAAAGAAGTCAATTTTCGGCCAATGAGAATTTTTGAAATGTTCCACATGATCAGCTGTATTTTATGTACGAAAAAAAAGGCGTTATGTATTTATATTTGTTTTAACGTTTACATGTAATATGCACATTAATTCGAATGTATTGTATAAACAACGAATACATCTAATAATTAATGCAATAAAAAAGAGTCAACTGTTTAGGCAATACTTCCAAACTGAACTCACGAAGAAACCTTGAAGGAAAGAAGTAAATGGCACATTTCTAATTTAGGAGCTTTTGATGTTAGTTTTTTTCTTGAATTCTACAAAAAAGGAACTGAATGGCTTAACATTGCAAAGCTTTTCTTAGAAGAGCTCCTTTCCATTTCGTTCCTACATTTGAAGCTGATAACCAACTGGCTACGAGTCAAGTTCGACAGTACTAAATATAAATTGAATTCACTTTGCAAAAACATGATAAATTCTTTATTTTATCATTAGTATGCATTTAATTTAGGTCATTTAAATTTAATTTCTGAGAGGTTAATGAAAACCGCATTGACCTAGAGTCGAATATTTTCGGTGTCTTTTAATTATCAAATCAAATTTATGACTTATTGTTTATTTTATTACACATTATATTTGAAATTCCATTGTAATAAATCAAGAAAATGTGTTACTGTTTTTTTGCCTTCTTTTTTTTCTTGATAATTATTTATATTGTGAGCAGGAGATCTCAAGGTCACTTCCTTTTAAGTTTTCATTAAGACACATCAGGTAACAGTAAAGAAAAGAGAGGACGAATGGATTTAGGTGATTAATAGTTGAAGAATGTTGTGTATTATTTATGTATGTAGGATTTTACTGTTGTCAGGTTCATATCATTGTATATGGGGTGGTTTGAAATAAACCTAGATGCATTTTCGATTTTTAAAAGTACTTTGGACTGTGAGCTTTAAATTTTATTTGTGCGAAAGTTTGTCCAGATAAGTTTTAGTGTAATGGTGTATATTAGTAGCTTGCTTTTTATGGTGAATGGGGATCTGTAGTTCTTGTTTTGTTTTTTTAATTTAATGTGTATGTTCCAGGAGAGTTTGCTGTCCAAGTAGGTGATTACAATGTTGAAATATATAACTCTGAATGAAGGTATAAATTTTCCTACTAGAAATATCACTAAAATTAATAAACAAAAATGGAATTAGTCATTTTGTCAACTAAAAGGCTCAAATGGTAATAAAACAATAGCTTCCTCCCGGACTTATAATCTTGATTTTGACCTTTCGTGACGTCCCATATTAAATTGGAACGTTTTGAATAAATAAAACTGTTTAATCGATCACTGGCTTAATCAAGACGCATTTGATGTAGGCCACTTCGGGGATGATTAAGTTCATTTGGTTAATCATGGAGCGTGATGTTTATTAGCTATGATTACTGCATCTTCTTTTTAACAGCATTGCTCTATTACCTCTTATATTAACCAAGATACGAAAATGAATTCTATTTCGAAAACATTTGTATTAATGGAATAACGTTACAAACTTATATTGAGTATTGGATATATTAATGATAAATAAAAATTAATTTACAGGAAAAGAGAGATAAGTCAACCACTAAGAGCAGGCTGATCACGAATTAGGGTCAGGCAAACTTGAAACTCAATAAACGCCTAATTATTAGAAAAGAAATACAGGAATTACACTTGCAATTTATTGTTAACAGCAAATTTTTTAAATAAAAAATAACAGATAACAATTCTTGAATAATTTTCAAGCTGCCGTATTCAAGTGTAATTTATTAAAAAAATAGTTAACATAAATTATTTTAAAAAATCAATAAACAAAGTAATAATATTAATGATAACGAAAATTATTAAAATAAAATACGAACATCAATACAAGAGCATAGTAAAATTTATTTTACAATTGAGGTCTTCAAAAGATTAAAAATCATAGTTTTAGACCAACCAGCTTTAAAATATTTATAATAATAATAATTATAAAGAACTTAACACAGTTAAATCGTTTTTAAGTTGTTTATTGACAGTTAAACTTACGAAAATGGAAGCAGATTTTACAAAGTTAAAAAAGAGGAACCTGGACGAGCTTTTAGACATTCAACTTCAAGAGTACAATATATTCAAATCCAACAAGTCTCTGAAATAATATAACACATGACGAATAAAATTTAAAAAATAAAAAGTCATTCTAATAAATGAGCTATATTAACGTTATAGAATAAAAATATTACGAAATTAGTATTTGTATTATAGTATTATATATATTATATATATATATATATATATATATATATATATATATATATATATATATATATATATATATATATATATATATAATTCATGATATTCAAAACTGTATTAAAAAAATAAATACATCTGGTAAATGTACACTCAGCAATATAATAACATGAAAACACTTCTTAAAAATACAAAAGAAGACCACGAGGCCACCTTTTTTTCAGACGCTCCAGAGGATTATCAGGGATCAAGGAGGAAGCAATGTTTGAAAATAATGTTATGGAAGAATAGGTGCCTGGCTTGGTCCAATTCGGAAACTTAGGGAACATTAAGGTCGTTATGGATGATTTTTTTGTGACGAAGTAAGGATCATTGAGGATTTTACGAAGGATTTTGGATTGTAAGTATTGGATACGAGAGGAATTCGATGGTTTAGTGGAGCCCCAAAGCTCAATTCCGTATATATATATATATATATATATTAGAGTTTGTGTTTGTTTTCTTTTCATTGAAACACTTTCAAGTTCTTAAAACATATGTAAAACAACTTTGATAACCTGAATTAATATTTGTTTTTTTTTAATCCCATCTTTAGAAGTAGCCAAACGATAAAAATATATAATAATGGTAGTTACAAGTAATATTGCATCTTAGTTCATTTGTTAACCAGCACGTATGTTATATAATACTGACTTTACTTAAAAACTCCCTAATCATGCCTCCCAAAGAACATTAATGTATAAAAGAATTTTGTCCATAAGTACAATGTTAAAATATTTTTATTAAACATATATGACATGACTTATATAAAACATATCTTACATTTTATAATTACCCCTCCCTCAGTTACATTTTCTCCTATGACTCCTTAAGATATTCTCATTCTTCATTAATTATTAAAATTAAAAATAGAATTATTTTTTAAGTTGATTTTAATGTAAATTTAGTAACACTTGCTAATTCCGTTCCTGGAGTGTCCAGAAGGGGGTTTTATGGCCCAAGTTGCGCAGTTAAAATTTTTGAGGGGGGCACATTTTGATGGGGTTTTGAATTTTTGAGGGGGGGACATTTCGACTGGGCTATTATTCTTCAGAATGAAAATTTTCATATCAGGGGACGAGAGGAAAGAATAGAACAAACCACTGGAAGTGTAATTGTACATGATCTATGATTTTAAAAAGGTTACTTTAGCTTGCCCTTGTTTTGAGAAGATGAGAAAAGGTTTATGTGCCATTGACCTTGGGGAGGATGGGCACCCCTATGTTTAGCAATTTACTTTTGCAAAACAACTATTTCTTCATTCAATAGCAACACTAGATGACATTAAAAGGAACCACATTTATTAATCATGCTGTTTTTAATCAATACTTCCATAAACAGGAAGAAGCCCTGTATTCGTGGTAAAAGAGTGCTGTATCATCCCAATCAGTTAGCATTAATCTCCTCAATCATACAATCGTTTTATAGAATCAATGATAATGTAAATTCCCAAACAAATGCTGTGTGGTGATGATTTTTTAAAATTTGATTTCCTATACCGATTTATATAATTCGGATATTGAACTATTGTTTTTCAAAATGTAAATATGAAACCACAATACAATAGATTTCTGAAATTCTGTCAGAATATTCCATGCTTTGAATAATTTAATGTTTTTAAAATTATAACAAGAACATAAAGCATAACCAGCTTTTATAGAAAAAGTTAGAAATTCCATTACATTTGAGAACATTAACCCCAGTTGATTTTTATTTACATATTTTTTATGTGAATTATATTTCTAGATTTTATCAACTATGCCCCTAATGATAAAATCAAGTGTCATCAACTTAAAAGTTGTCAGTTTGAAATTTTCCGATAATGAATGCAGGGTTGGAAACTAAGAATAGTACCATTATGGATTACAAAAAAAAAACGCTGCAAATTATTTCACAATGGTTTATTATCCCCAAACAATTATACATCTAAAGTAACATTACAAAGAAAGAAAAACAAAAGGTGATTCCAATTATTGAACTAAAATGTTTTTCTTTAATCATTAGTAATATGCTAAAAAAAAAAAAAAAAAATAGCATTAGTTCAGTAACACATTTAAAATTAGAAAACCAAATCAAGGATATAACATTTGGAGTAGAACACATAAAAAAAACCGGAGACCATATTTTTGCTCCTAATTATCCGATTTTAACGATTTTTTTTTTTGTTTCATAGGAAATTTCGTAAACTTTTAAAAAACTATATACAATATCCACAAACAAGTTTATCCATAAAAACTTTTCGAGTTATTCGGAATTTAATTTTACTATCCCTCGTAACTTTTTTTCCAGCTTCTTTTAGTTGAAGTATGTTATATAGCTCTGAAAACGCTTGTTGAGGAACTACCCACTGGTAGCACTCTAAATTAAGGATTTCAAATTTGAAAAAGGAATAAATAAAAAAGCAAGCACAGCGAGGCGTCTCTACCCCACATTATGGTATGCAGGAGTGCCCTGAAGAGGATTTCATGGCGCAAGTTGCGCTATCTAAATTTTTGAGGGGGCCACATTTTTACGAAGTTTTGAATTTTTGAGGGGAGTATATTTTGACTGGGTTATGAATTTTTAAAATGAGAAGTTTCAAATCAAAAGACAAATGGAAGCATGGAATTGACTGCGGATGTGTATCTAATTGTATGTAATCTACGAATTTTTAAATTATACCTTCGTTTGCACTGTTTTTAAGAGAGGATAGCAATAAAATATCTTGGGAGGGGTGGAGGAAGGTTCATGCGCCTGTAGGTACAGTTGATCTAAAGTTGACATAGTTTGTATTTTTAAGGCTTTTCAAACTTATAAAAATGTTACGATAAAAGAGAAAGTACAACATGAACAAACAATATCAAAGGTTTGTTGTAACTGTCATTGAAATTACTCTGTATTCGCTTTTGATACATTTCCAGGTATAAACCTCCAAACACATTATTATGAAGGTGTACAACAAAAAATTGTGATAACGCTATCTATGCATTTATTGTGATATCTAAAAATAAATATATCTTCGGTACGATGGTACGCTATCACCGAAAAATTTTATCAGCTTGTTGGGTTCCAAGGGCATTTTAGACGTAACTGGGATCCAATCAAATCAACACTTGAAACTTGAACTATCTTCCTTTCTAATTACATTGCTCGTTCGTTTAAACATGTAACATGCTTGAGATCTCGAACAGCTGTGAAATGAGATATCAATTTCCATAATATAGAATTTTGATTCCCTTTCGTTATTCAGATTATTAATAAACATAATGTTGTATGTATGCCTGGGTAGATTTGTTGCTACATTTTTTTTTTCTAATATGCATTATCAAATAGGGTGAACGCACCAGTTATGGATAGTGGGCCCATGGATGGAAAGGTTGGACTTTAAATGTAAATAATAAGTTTCCTTATTGATTTAAAGGTTCCACTTTTCCAATACCTATCATTGCTGTTTCTGAAATGCTCTTGAGATCAGTATGTTTCATATCTTCCTACTAACAGTTTTGCTAAGAGTGATTTGAACATTTATGTTATGTTATCATTATCTTGTAATTAATTAAAGATTTTAGAATTTTTCTGAGATATGTCCATTATTGGTACCGACACCATTTCCACTACAAGAATAATTGAATTTCGGGGTGTTCATAACTAGTACAGAAAGGTGTTTTTTTTTTTAAATGGTTATTATACCTGCATAACTGATTTTTTTTTTTCAATTTAAAGTCATAAATAGAAAAAGGAGACCTAGATATTCTAAATGTCCAACGGAGAAGTTTATAACTATTATAATTACGGTGGAATAAGCCAAAAAAAAGGCCACCATTTCCTTAGCAATGTCCATCGGTGGTGTGTTTACCTTAATGTGATTAATCTCTATCGTGTAATGCTCAAAAACTGTATTCTGTAAAAAAAAATATCCAAAATCATGTGAATAAATATCTTAATTTATATATTGTAAATATGAAAAATAAATAATCTTTATTTCTCTTTCATTAAGACCGTTCACTAATATTTTTACGATAAATGAAAAGAGTTTTGCTGGTGAAATATGTTTATTTTGTAGAGCCAAATCCTTGAAATGTATCATATAAAATAACATAAACCATTAATTATTTTTATGTATATATTTTTTAATAGACTAGTTATATGGTACTGGTACTGGTGCTGCTGTTGGGGGGAACTAGTCGGGTAAGTGAGTCCTGCTGTATATCTTCAGACTACAGCCGCTTAGTTACCAGAGATTCATTTCCCGGGTACGCCTAGTAATAAATATTAACCGATCCACGCACCTGAACTGCAGAATACATGTAAATAACAGTTATACAATTTGAGCAACGAGTAATATGATTAAATGAAGAATTATTAAAATGGGGGTTGTTCTGCCGTTAGGTGGACATAAGGTACCCCCTTAGTAAAAAAACAAAAACATTACAATGAAGACACACAAAATAAACATAAAAATTTTAAAGAAACGCACACGCACTCCTAAACATCTCTTTCTGTTAAGAACCAAAAAAATTTACTTGATTTCTCTAAACAAATGCTACAAATTATTTAACAATGGTTAATTATTTCAAAACAATTATACATCTAAAGTAACGTTACCTTTCTAGTGACAAAGAAAAATAAATCAAAAGTTATTTACCAATTATTGCCCTAATCATTTTGTTTTTTTATCATTAGTAATTTGCTATAAAAAAATAGCATTACTTCAAAAAACATCCAAAAATCAAAAAATAGAACAAAGGATATAACCTTTGCAGTAGAACATATAAAAAACATCTAGAGCTCCAAAATCTCTGATTTTAACGATTTATTTTTTATTTTTTAGAAAATTT